CCAACCAAAGGAGCGCGCCGGCAGCAGAAAGGAAAAGGAAAGAAACCAAAGGAGTGCGCCGGCAGCAGAAAGGAAGAAAAGAAGCCGAACGGGCGGGCCCGCACTCGTTTGCCCATGCGCCGGCAGCAGAAAGGAAGAGAAAAGGCCGGACGGGCGGGCCGTGACAGAGCTTCAGCGCTGAAAACTGTGCCCTGCAGGTGCTTGAGCGCTTTTCCAGGCCGCACGCGTTTGCCCACAGCGAGCGCCAACCAAAGGAGTGCGCCGGCAGCAGATAGGAAGAAAACAAGCCGAACGGGCCGTGACAGAGCTTCAGCGCTGAAAGCTGTGCCCAGCACGTAGATGAGCACTCTCGGCCTCCTCAGCTCAGGGGCAGTTGGTGTAGTGGCATCAAACCCGCTCAGCGTGCGAGAGGGGCAGGTTTCAATCCCCGGCCTGTCCATGCCCATGTGCGCCTGCGTCTGTCACAGTTTGCCTATCCCTGGTCTTGCCGGCAGCCTGCTCCGTCGCGGCCGGGTGCCTAACGTCGCGTTCCAGCCACAAAACCCATCAAACCCGCTCAGCGTGCGAGAGGGGCAGGTTTCAATCCCCGGCCTGTCCATGCCCATGTGCGCCTGCGTCTGTCACAGTTTGCCTATCCCTGGTCTTGCCGGCAGCCTGCTCCGGCCGGGTGCCTAACGTCGCGTTCCAGCCACAAAAGCTTCGCTTCCCGCGCTTTTCCAGGCCGTATTCGTTTGTCCACAGCGAGCACCAACCAAAGGAGTGCGCCGGCAGCCGAAAGGAAAAGGACTGAAAAGAACCTCTCGGCCTCCTCAGCTCAGGGGCAGTTGGTGTAGTGGCATCACACCCGCTCAGCATGCGAGAGGGGCCTGGGTTCAATCCCCGGCCTGTCCATGCCCATGTGCGCCTGCGTCTGTCACAGTTTGCCTATCCCTGGTCTTGCCGGCAGCCTGCTCCGCCGCGGCCGGGTGCCTAACGTCGCGTTCCAGCCACAAAAGCTTCGCTTCCCGCGCTTTTCCAGGCCGCACTCGTTTGTCCACAGCGAGCACCAACCAAAGGAGTGCGCCGGCAGCCGAAAGGACAAGGAAAGAAAAGAAACCTCTCGGCCTCCTCAGCTCAGGGGCAGTTGGTGTAGTGGCATCACACCCGTTCATCCCCGGCCTGTCCATGCCCATGTGCGCCTGCGTCTGTCCATTGCCTATCCCTGGTCTTTCTCCCTTTGGGTTTGCTGCGTCTTGCCAAGGGCGGCTGCCCCGTCACTTTTGAATCCTATATAGAAAGTAGAAAGCTATCGGTCCCCAGGGCGCAACCAGCAAGAACAGCTTCGCGTCCAGCGCGCTTGGAGGCCGCACTCGCTTCGCCGCAGCGAGCACGAACCAAAGGAGTGCGCCGGCAGCCTGCTCCGCCGCGGCCGGGTGCCTAACGTCCGCGTTCCAGCCACAAAACCCGCGCTTTTCCAGGCCGCACTCGTTTGTCCACAGCGAGCACCAACCAAAGGAGCGCGCCGGCAGCCGGAAGGAAAAGGAAAGAAAAGAAACCTCTCGGCCTCCTCAGCTCAGGGGCAGTTGGTGTAGTGGCATCACACCCGCTCAGCATGCGAGAGGGGCCGGGTTCAATCCCCGGCCTGTCCATGCCCATGTGCGCCTGCGTCTGTCACAGTTTGCCTATCCCTGGTCTTTCTCCCTTGGGTTTGCTGCGTTTTGCCAAGACCGGCTGCCCGCCGCGGCCGGGTGCCGAACGTCACTTTTGAATCCTATGTAGAAAGTAGAAAGCTATCGGTCCCCAGGGCGCAACCAGCAAGAACAGCTTCGCGTCCAGCGCGCTTGGAGGCCGCACTCGCTTCAGCGAGCACGAACCAAAGGAGTGCGCCGGCAGCCTGCTCCGCCGCGGCCGGGTGCCTAACGTCGCGTTTGAGTCCAATATGCAGAAGGCTATCGGTCCAGAGGGAGCGGCCAGCCACAAAAGCTTCGCTTCCCGCGCTTTTCCAGGCCGCACGCGTTTGTCCACAGCGAGCACCAACCAAAGGAGTGCGCCGGCAGCCGAAAGGAAAAGGAAAGAAAAGAAACGAAGAAGAACAAGAAAAAAGGGAAAGAAAGAAGGCTGGTAAGGTACAGGGCTGAACGGGCGAGGGCGAAAGGGAAGGGAGAAGGCTGCCACAGTCACGCTCCAACGCTAAACGAACACTCCCCCAGCGCCTTCCCCTTGCAGGCAGGGGGGTCGGCGGATAAATAGATAGATAGTAAAGTATCTTGGATAGATGGTAGCTAGATAAAAATGTAGATGGACAGAGACAGATAGATGAAACTGAAGAAGAGAAAGATAGACAGAAAGAAAGATGGGTAGGTAGATGGACAGGTAGATGGATAGATAGGTAGGTAGACCGATACATACATAGAGGGATACGCAGATAAATCGGTAGGAGAGCTATGTAGACAGAAGGATAGCAAGATAGAGACAGAGGGAGCCGAGAGATAGATCGATTAGATTGCATTAGAACTGGTAGCCAGATAGGCAGACAGGCAAATGGATTGGATTAGGTTGGATTAGGTCAGAGCAGATTGGATCAAACAAATAGGTTGGGAAATGCACAGACGCGTTGATGGACAAACGGATGGACAAACAAACGAACAGACAGGTAGACTGCGTGGATGAATAGGCAGGCAGATGGCTAGATAGAAAGATGAGTAGGCCAACAGGGCATGTGAGTGGAGCAGACACACACACACACACGCACACAACAGTATTGGCTTCTATCAAGTTTGAACCTGCTTGCCCATGTGCCCAGCAGAATCAGAGCACCCGTTTCAAGCGCCTTTTTCCCAAAAAGCATCTCTGGCGCGATGGGTGCGGGAGCTTTCAACGCGGCCGCGCTGGTGGGATGTGGACTCCGAGCGGCCCTGCTGGGGGGATTTGGAGGGCATTGGCTTCTGGGATGGGAGCGTTTGTGGGCGTGAGCTCGAGAAAACTTTGGTAGGCTAGTTGGCCAAATCTTGCTCCGCGCCTGGCGTGGGTTGTCAGACAACGGCAGCCTCGTGTCAACGACTGCGTCCAAATTAGCCTCCTGTCGTCGGCCTTGACGGTCCCGACGAACTTCATCCGCTGGCGCTGGCACTGGCGCGGCCGAGTTAGGGCGCACGCTGGCACTGCCTGCGCCGCCCGCAGCCGAGCAGGAGCAGAAGGACAGGGAGGACGAGGAGCCGCCGGTGATCAAGAGGCCCGCCGCCCGCCAGGGTGCGCCGAAGATGGCTGCAAAGAAGGCGGCGGCAAAGAAGGCAGCGGCCAAGAACAGCGCCGCGGAAAAGAAGGCGAAGCAAACAGAGGAGGCAGCGAAGGAAGAGAATGAGGAGGAGGACGCGAAGGACGAGCGCGCTCCGGACATTCGGCGGTGCAAGAACACGACCCAAGAACAAAACCGAAAACCACAAGAGAAGACCGCCTGAAACGGCCGCAGTCCGGGCAGCAACGTGGAACTTGCACTTGTCAGCTTGCTGCCTGCCCGCCGCTCGGTTCCAGGCAGTGCGTTCGGCCTGCGGGCCACACACGACGAAAACAGAAGCTAAAACTGAAAGAGGCTGGAGTGCCATGGGGGCTGCGTTTTGCAGGCAAGCGCCTCGTGTATATAGCTTCAAGTATTTCAGATTTTAAAAATATCCTGTTGAGTTGCAGACAAGCAGCAGAAGTAATTTAGATTTGTGTGTCAAAATGCGTCAATGACAGCAAGAGTATCATGAAAATTTTCGACATTCGCCATCATAGTATTGGGAAAGTGAGCCGCATGCTCAGTAGCATGTCCAAGAGTTTACAAGTGAAAAGACTTGAGTCACGCACGAGAGGGGCGCTTCAGCGCTCTGCACTCGTACGACACCGAAGATCGCTTGCGGTGGCTGTGGACAAACCCAGGCAAATAGTCCTTATTCTCATCAATGCGCTTGTTGTGAATGCGGCAGAAGTACAAAACCTTGACAGCGTGGGTGGTGGGACGAGCCTCATTCAGGGCCCGGGCATACTGACGAAACCACGAGAAGACCTGTTCCGCAGACGAGGTGCTGACATCCCGCAAGCGAATGAGGTAGTGTTTACACTACGGGGTTCTTACGGTGAGGGTTAAGGCCTGGTGTAGATCAAGGTGCGGGCTCTGTCTTCGGTGCGACAGTCTTGCACTAAATGGAGGTGCGGACCAAGTGCGTGCTTTGCAAAGGGTTCACTTTTGTCTTGCAATGCTGGCAAATGAGTGAAACACTGCGCCTGCCACGAAATTCAGAGACCCTGTTTATGAAAATGTTGCGCCGCCCACGCATCCTGTAGCAGCAGCGCAAAACATCATGCGCCCACTACGAAAAACGCACGGCAGTCTCACAGAATGCTGTGCTGGCCATGGAATTCTGCGGCAACACACAAATCCGAAGATCGGGGCGGCGCCACAGCGAGAGCGCAGTGTTGACGAAAGGTCCGTTTCATGCAAAGCTGTCGAACGAAAGACAACTTCTTGCGAGAACTGCCATGGTTTTCGAGACCCGATTGTCCAAGCGTCGTAGCCTGACCCGACAAGAAGATATCACCGCTCTCGCTGCGGCGCCGTGCGAATTTGTCGGCAAACCCTCTGCGAACATCGTGCGTGTCGAAGCGCTCTTGCTGCGGCGCCGTGCGAGGTGCGAAGTGCTCTGCCGCATCTCCGGCTGCGCAGTCGCAACGTTTACGTACAAAGCTAGCGCGCAAAGTGCGCTCCTGCAGCTGCGGCTCGAAATTCGCAACTTCTAGGTGCAAAAGGCTGTAAAATCTCGATTTGAAAATACAAAAGTAGTACGCGAAGAGCACCCCGGAGCTCCGGCTGCAAAATCGCAATTTTTAGGTTCACAAGTAGCGAAACTCGCAACTTCTGGCTCAAGAAAAAGGTCCGGGTGAAGCTTTCTCACATGCCTACCCCTGTGTCACTGTAGCCTTGCGGGTGGTCGCGTTTATAGAGTTCATTGCCTTGACGGAGTTGGCCGCCGCAACCCGCTTAGGATGTTGCAGCAATTGTCGCCATCAGCGCGCATCGTGGTGACGGCGTCCTCGGTTCACAACCCGGCTACGGGCGATCCTGGCGCACAGGCAACTTTGGGTGCCAGGCTCAGACGCTTTCGTGAGACGATTTTTCTTCCTCTCGCTTTCATGGTCTCAAGATGTCTCAAGCGTCTCGTTGCGCATGCTTTTGTTCACTAACTCGGCCGGCGTTGTCGCTCTTATGATGTTTGCGCGTGTTGCTTTCCTTATCTCTTTGCTTTGTGTTTCCCATTCGGTGTTTTCATCCCGACACCTCCTTTTTCTTTCTTTCTCTTGTTTCACCTTCTTCCACTTCCCATTTTGCCGCTTTTCACCCCTTGTTTTTTGTCTGAGGCGACTTGTCCGGGCTGCAGCGGGGCGGAGCCATGGCAGACGGCGGCACTTTCGACGCCGCGCCCCTCGAAACTTCAAATCCGACAGGGTGAAGGAAGGGGCAGGATGAGTGTGTAATCCTGCGAAGTGTTCCTGTGCAACGATTCGTTTTGGCATCCGCACGGAGTGGCGCTGAGCTCAAACTCGAAAGCACCGCGCCGGCAACAAAATCCAACTTCGGAGCGAAAACAGTCCGGACCCCCAGCTTCAGCGCTCTGCGCAGAACAGTTTAAAAAACCTCGGCTGCTACGAAACCTTGAAGTACGACCCTGGGCCTAAAGCTGGCTGCAGCAGTCCGCTCCGTGCGGACTATCTAAAGTACCGCTGCGTGCGCGAGCGAGCGAGCGAGTGAGCAAGTGAGCGAGGTGTGGGTGAGTGGGCGAGGGAGCTGCAAGAGTGCAAGTGACGCTTTGGCAAGTCTGTTGACCGCAAGCTGATCAGCAGCCGCGCTCCTGTTGATCCTGAGGTCCAGACCCAAGGGTCCTAATTGACCCAAAAGATGGCAGACTATTGATACATCTTTTCACGCCCCCGCAGCCTGACAGCGTAGTTTTGAGGTTGAACTATACACGGGATTGGAACACCTCATTGAAACGGACGAAAACACTGCGCGTGTCTTCTTTGCACTTATTTCTGTGCCTGGGCTTTTGTCCTGATTCAAACCCAGTGCTTCCCGCAGTACTGGTTCATCTCAGGGTAGTGGGAGACCACTGCGTCCGCATTGTTGATCTCAACCACATACCGAGGCAGGTCTGAACTGCCCCTAAAGCGGATGGCATCCTTGCAACCCAAGATGGAAGTTGCGGCGCCGGATGGTTGAGCCTGCGGGTTGCCCATCAGGATGTTGATGCCTGCGCAGGCGAAAGCTGAGGACTAGGTGTCTGATCGCTGCTCGTTGGTTCGGCCTTGCCTGTCGAGGCCCGTTGCGCCGCACGAAGGGCTCACGTACTTGTAGCTCGCCGGTGAAGATGCGCTGATGTGCTGTCTCTTGCTGATCGAAAGCACAGAGACGCCTTGATTCAAGCTGGTCTCTGTTGAAGAGAGCGCAATGTGTCTAGAACTGGTCATGTTCTCCAGCTTGGCAACGCTAGGCTCCACTGCGAAAAGAATCCTCTGACAATGTGTTGAGGCTGTTGACACGCCCTTCCGAAACATGACATACTTGTGGAGGAACGAGTTGCACGGGTCAGTGCTAAACGCACCCCTGTGGAAAGCCGGAAGCCGAGAATATCCGAGAATCCCCGCGAAACATGCAAATCTTGCCCTGGCTGACTACGCTTTAGTCGCGCAGTGTTGACTGCCCCGGCCCCCATGCACTCTTCGAAAGATGTGCTGCCATCAAGCTCTTGAATCTGGTAACCCCATTTCTCAACGATTCCATGCCTTGGTTAGTTGAGGCGGTTGGCGTTACTGCTGTCAGACTTGTGCAATTACACATGTGCTACGCAAATACTGGTGTTACTGGGCCCGTGCACACCAGTACTTGTTAGTGGTGACATGCTGGTGAGACTGTTCGTGGCGCTGTTGCTCAGTGTTGTGCTGTGATGATGTATAGGTGCCTGATGAGAACTTCTGCATTTGGTGAGGATGTCAGAGCGGGCTATTACCTGTTATGATCTTCAGGGTACTATGTGTTTAGCTTGCTTTGACGATCCCTGTCGGATCGCGATGTTGCGAATACTTCGGTCAAGAAGTTGCGGAGGTGCAACAACTTTGGTTCTGGTTCTGCTGACGACAGTGCCGCTGTTGTCTGCGTTCTGCTTCCGGATGTTGGCGCCTAGGAAATGGGTAGAACCCTGTTGTCTGGGTAGACTTCGGTATCCAAGGACATCTTGTTTTGGTTTTTGAGCTTGACGGTTGGTCGTAGTGAGTGTTTCCATGTTGCCGTGCCTTTGAGATATCTGATGAGGTGTTTCAGCTTTTTGTCATCGTGTGCTGTCGGTGGCTGTAGCGCTCGTGCTTGCTCTGTTGTTACAAAGCTGATGTCTGTGTAGGAAAGCCATTGTGCCTTGCCAGGCATTGCCGCTGAGCAAGGTGCGCAAGGCGCAGAAAATTGGTTTTGATGCAAAGACATCACCCAAGTCGTTGATACGCTCTATGCGTCCTTTGACGACCATTCACGCTTGACATCGTCGCTTTTTGGTCGCAGCGCCCTTCGAAATTCCACGACGTTGCTGCGGTGTGAGTGACGACTCGTCGATTTCAGTGTAGACGTTCTGTTGCTTCCTGATGGATCTCCTGATCTCCTTCTTAATTAATGCCGTCGATCACCTTGTTGCGATCGAGATCTTCAGTATTGTTCACAATTGGTTCCAAAAGGCATTTTTATTCTGCACGTCTTGGTGGTCCTCGCATGAGGCTGTTGTTATGGTGTCGCCTGCTCTGGTTGCTCCTGCTGGCTGCTTGCTGCTTGTTTGTCGCTCCTTCTGCTGCGTTGATTCTATTGCTCTTTGCTGCTTGATTGAGCTTCCTTCTTGTCAGACCTCTCCCGTGTTGGTGTTGGAAGAGGTGTTCTCTTAATGTGTGTGGGCGAAGTTGCCTTGAAGCCGTTTGTTGGTGTGTCTGCCCAGAGTTGGTTGTTCCCTTGTTATATTCATGTAGTTTGCAGTGTGATGTATTTATCAACCTCAATAACCCAAATTGCATGAGTGTCTCACTAGCGTAGCTTCGTCGTACCCGCTACGCATCGCTTATCGCAGGGTTGAATGTTGACTCTTCTAGGTTGTTTAAACTGTTCTATAGGTTATCAGCCGTAAGCGGCTCATTGTACAGAGTTGTACGCCATGGATGGCGACCCTGGAGTGCCTCCTACTGAGGTGCGTCCCACACCTGATGAGCTTGCGATGATGATGCCTCGCACTATGCACCTACAAGTCGTGCGGGACAAGCTTTGAGCAGTCACGGCCCCGAATCGCGCGACCGCGGAAGGCCTGAGCGGTCAGGTGCTCGATCTCCTTCACCCGTTGGATCGTTGGATCAGATCTGCATCGGCGCGGTGACATCGTCATGTACGACCCTCAGTCCGACCTTGCAAGGGGAAACCCTTTGCCACAGCCCATGAATCAATTCAATCAACATGTTGCGAACGTTCACCTCGATCCTTCTATGACAGTCAACCAAGACGTGACAAACTACCAGCAGTTCAACGCTACCCAGAACAATGCCCAGATCAACCAATTCGTGAATCAGGGGCCTCGTCGAGAAGGTTTGCGCAAGAGTTTCCGGTGTTCCAAAGTTCGATGAGAGAGCTATTTTAGATGCAACTCTTATCGGTGCTACGCATGAGGCAATGGTGCTGAAGGGCGCAAAGACTTCATTTCAATTTCAATGAAGAGCCCGATGATTCTCCTCCGGAGGGAAGTGCTGCTGTTGCTCAACTACCATGGAGGTGCTGCCCAGGATTTGCTGTCGAGAACCGATGCGCAAAATGGGAGTATTTACGAATCATCACGGCCGCTGCACATGGGCAGTAAGGAGCAAGCAGATGTCAAGATCAAACAAACCGAAAGCATTTTCCGGCCATATGTTCTTGATGAAACTCCAGCCGTGCTATCCGTGAGTATGAGATGCCTGAAAGTTTTAGGTTGCCGGACGGTTCGCGCATCAAGCTTGAGGTCAAGGACAACGTACCGTTCATTCCTTCTGAGACCAGGCGTGCTGTTCCAGCTATGTCGCAGAATATCCCAAAGGTCACAACTTTACCATCAGCTCCAATGAAGAAAGCCCTGATGTTCCACACGAAGGTCATCGCATCCGAATTCGTGTCACAGCCCGTTGTGAAGGACGCTCCTCGCGAACGCGGTGAAGCTGCATTGCGGGATGAGGCCACTTCAGCGCTTGATGTGCCACACTCCCAAGAACCCCTTTTTGCGAGACATGCAACAGAGCAAAGATGTACAAATATCCATCGAGACCAAAAAAGGATTCCACTCAAGTCGAGGCTAAGAAGCTTGGCGATCACCTTACGGCGGACCATCTTATAACTTCGGATGATCGCGAGATTGGTATAGATCAATCAAAGGTTGCACTCGTGATTCGAGATGATGCTACTGATTTCCGTTACGTATACCCAGCTGCACGGAAAACCTTACACGAATGTATAATGGCTGTTAAGCACTTTGTTCGCACTGGAGAGACTGTGAACATATTTTTCAGCGATCGGGCACCCGAACTCGTGAAAGCTGCGGACCAAATGGAATGGAATCATGTTCAGATTACGAACTACCTCTCCAAGACCAATGCCATGGCTGAGAGGAGGAGCAACCATCGAGGGCACGAGGGCTAATCTTGAACAAGCAGGTTTGCGCCATTCGTATTGGCCACATGCGGCCAAACGTTATTGCGTGGCACACAACATCACTGACCACCCAGACAATTCATTCTCCTTGGAAGGCGGGTTTCGGCGAATATTTTCCTGGACCATATTTGCCATTTGTTGTCAAATCAACTTTTCGACTGGCCCGAAGAATCGACCGAACAAGCTCTTGAAGTTTGAACCCACTTCCAGGGTGGGAATATTTCTGGGATACCCGATTCATCCTGACTTTCTTTGGCGTCATTGAGTTCCTTGTTGTCCCTTTGAGGGATTTGATGGAGAAGGACTATGACCAACCTGTTGCCTCGTTGAGGGTAAATCAGATAAAATGTCCGGCTGGCGAATTCATTTTTCCAATGGTGGAACGACATTTATTGCATATGAACGGCGTCATGCCGGGGCTTGAGTACGCTCGCGAAACGCCTGATCCAGCTGCATTGGATGCGCCTCTTGGATGAGGACTTGCCGGCAGAAATGCCAGGTCAGGAGGTTTCCATTGACGAGCCGAAAGGTGCTCATTACGATGCGGGAGGTGTCAAATCTTGGAGATATTCGGGATCAGTCACCGAAGCAGCGGAGACTTGCTATTGTCAAGGAAGAACGTGAGAAAGCTCGCAATGCGGTTCCTGACGATCCTGTATCCGAGGACCCGGAAGCTTCTTCTTCCAGTAAACCATGGGTTGGAGGATGACTTTGTGAATATTCCT